GATAATACTAAATATCAGGCCTTCTCGTAAGAGGCGTGCGATTGCACGCCTTATATGACCACGCATATAGTTCTTTGTTTAATTGACCACGGCTTTTTGCAAGTTTTGATAATTAGCGCGTTTAAAAAATGTGCTTAAAAAAAACAAATGCGATTTTTAATTTAATTGATTCCATAATTACAATTAAACTCCCACAAAATTTCCTGAGTACTTTAATGCAACTTAATTAAAGGCAATCATTGAAAAAAATATTCAGATTAGAGTTTAAGGCAAAATGAGTACAGAAGCGTCCACCGTGTGGAGAAATCAGACTGTTTCAAAATTTTATTAAAAATAATTACAAACCCATTTTGTCATGGAAATATAATTTCTAATTAAGAAATTATTTACTAAAAAAAAGGAATTACAATAATCTTGAAACAATCGTATCTGCCAACTATATTTTATCTCTGGGCGTGACATATCGTTTTTTTTTTTTTAATGAACGTTGACTTGGGTATCTTTATTTATTGACGAACGTCTAATTTAAGAGATTTATGTCAAATAAAATTCAAATAATTTTTATTCTAGTTAATAAGTTATTAAATATATCAAAGATGCTTGGTAAATTTATTCAATTTTTATTTTTCAAAAACCTTTTTTTTGCACATATGCAAAGTGCGCGCAAATTAATGATAAATGCACAATAAAAAAACTTTTAAAAGTGAAAAAGTTTTAATATACAAACAAATATCATTTCATTTTATGGAAAATTATGGAAAATAAGAAAATTTAAAAAAAGCATGCTAAATTTTATTTATAATGAATACATTTGCTTTAAATTTTTAATGTAATTGCTAAAAACGTAAAAGAAACCGTCGTTTAAGGTTACGATTGCTTTTCTCAATAGAAGAAAGCAATTGAAATGTTTGAGCATGGTTTCTTTTGAAGTTTTTGCAAAAGCATTCATTTTTAGTAAATTTATGCATGCATTTGTAAGGGCATGCAAAAACCATGCTAAAACATAATTACTTTTTCTATAGCGTATTTAGTTATTTTACTTAAAAATGACGCTTTTTTACTTTTGTTTACAATTAGGTTTACATTAATAAATATTTTGACTTTTTTTGGTTTTTCCTTTATTTATTTTATCATTCTTTGAATATTTTATTTTTTTAGGTTAATTTTTGTATTATATATTATTTTATGGATTTTATTCTCTTTTCAGTTTTTTAAACGCGCTAATTATCAAAACTTGCAAAGAGCCGTGGTCAAGTTGTTAAAACAAAGAACTATATGCGTGGTCATACAAGGCGTGCGATCACACGCCTCTTACAAGAAGGCCTGAAATATTGTTAAATATTTAAATTTTATTTATTCTAAATAAAAAGTTAGCTCACATTTGTTATTTCGGTTTTCTTTCCTAAACATTTTTTTTACCCAAAATTAAATATTAAATAAATATTTTCCGAGGCTAAACGTAAGTTAAACTATTTTTATAACACAATAAAGCTCAGCAATTATTTCTTAATACATGATTAGGGATGGCAAAAATCCCGGGATTGAATAGAAAAAAAAGCAAACGCAATTGAATACTTTTTAAGCACTCGTCAAACATTTAAAAATGATTAATTTAATGATAATATAACTAAAATATTTATTACATTAATGAACCTCTAAAATTAAGTTGAATCATGTTTTAACTTAATTTTGTATAAAAACTTATCTAAGACTTTTAAAAATTAATAAACCTAAGTATTATAAATCACAAAACAATACCTTAAAATGGTAACACAATATAAACAAAAATAAAAATTAAAAACTAATATAAATATGCATGACGTTAAAAAAACTTTCGTAAATTACGCATTTTCATAAATCACACAATTGAAAATTTAAATGAATGTATATAAAAATAGAATCGCACATACTTTTAGAAGCAGAAAGTTCAAAATTAAATTAATGTATACCTTCTATTAAAAACTCTTGCTCTTTTCACCAGCAAGCGCTTAAATTTTATTTATTTTTATAATATACTAGTTATTATACTGTATATTATATATAGTATAATATTAAAACTAGTATATTATAAAAAATAACAAAAATATAAACGCTTGCTGGTGGAAAGAACATGAGTTTTTAATAAAAGTTATACAATAATTTTATTTTATTATTATATATATATATATATATATATATATATATATATATATATATATATATATATATATATATATATATATATATATATATATATATATGTATATTGCAGACTAATACTGTTTTGAGTTTTTTTTTTAGTTAAATACAGAAAAAGAGAGTTTTAAAAGGTAAACATTGCAAATAGAATAAATAGTTACACAACCAAACAGCTACTATACCAAAGCAGTGGCCGATACAAAGGAGGGGGGTATATGGGGGGTTAAACACCGCCCTAAGAAATTTCAAATTTCAAAATATTAAAAAATTTGTAAAAGAAATAACAACTTTTATTTAACATTTATTTTCAACGTTTGATTTTTTCAAGGTATTTATATACAGATACATTCAATATATTTATTAACAAAGTTTTCTAAAAACATTCTAAATAATCAAACTAAAAAGTGGTTTATCTGAAGAAAAAAAAAAGCCAAATTATGCTTCCCCCCTCCCTAGGACAATGACCTGGATCCACCACTGTACCAAAGACGATATAAAAATTACTAAACTACAATTATAAGCCTAAACTTTATAACTTTTCCTTTTTTTTGACATATATATATATTTATAGGGGTCGAAATAAGTGCCGGACATCGCCGCTCCTCAGACCATTTTTGAGACCTGCTATAAGAGGGCAACTAACCATTGTTCATTTTTACTGCAAAAATGAACAATAGTTTGATGCCCTCATCTAGCAGGTCTCAAAAATGATCTGAGGGGCAGCGATGTCTGGCACTTATTTCGACCCCTGTATATATATATATATATATATATATATATATATATATATATATATATATATATATATATATATATATATATATATATATATATATATATATATAGTGCCTGTTCTTGGAAAAAAATTTGAGCGGCAGTACCCCCTCGTTCCAACAAACTTTAGCGGAAATCAGCGGTTTTTTCGCATAACAGTATTTGCCGTAAAAAAAAAAAAAAAAAAAAAAAAAAATCCTCAAATTTTAATCCCGAAATCCCGTAAATTGTAGAGACTAATCCCAGGATTTCGGGATAAACAATTTGTACGAAATCCCGGGATTGCCATCCCTATATATGATATATACAATATAATTTTAACAAATGGTGTTTCAAAACAAAATCGCTAAAAAAATAATAAACTTTTAACAAATAAAAGTAGATAAATTAACGTAAGTTTTTTATTTGTTACTCGCTAATTTTTTTAAAATAAAAAATTATTTAATATAAAAAAAATGAAAGAAATAAACATTTAGTAATTTTATTAATAAAAAGAGAGTTAAACAATATTTAACTAGTTTTGCGGTAATCTTAATATTATTGCAGTAATTTGAAAAAGTTAATGTCTTTAAAAAATGAAAAGATAAAGAGAATTTTATGATGTCAAATTCACATTAAGCTAATGCGTTGAGCGTTTGTTATTTAAAACAAGGCCTACATTCCTGTCCAAGCTTTGTTTTGTAGATTTAATTCCCATTGACCAAAATGTCAAATTACTTTGTAAATTGATTGAACAATCTGAGGTTTTAACCAGACAATGTCTGACCGTTAAATTGAGCCCTGTCACATAAAATGGTGTGCTATAAACCCCACATTCAAAGTCTATCATTCCTGATTTTTTTTGGAATAATTAACTTCAAAACTGTGATCTTTACACAAGTCTATCAAGCAAAATTTTTAAAAATAAAAATTTGGCCTATAGCTTACTTTTTACTTTTGTTTATATTCTCTTAGGTTAAGATTTATTTTCTGTTTTCAGTTTATAGCTTTTGTTTTCATTTTTATTTTGTTTACTTTCACTTTTTAAACGCTATTTTTAAAATGCACAAAAATAACTATATTATATATACTATGTTAAAAGTTGTGGACATGTCAGCAAAACAAAAAAAAAATTACATGCCTGATCAACTCATTTCTCCGCGCAGCGGCCTTGTTCGTCAAGGTTCATATTTTGGAGTTATAGAGTTGAGAGAGGGTTATAACCACAAATAAGTAGCCTCCTTGTCTGTAGTGGCCTTCTCAGCCTTGAGGTGAATTAATAAAAAATAAAAAATAAAAAATATATAAAGACCTGCAATCGCATGCCTTCCTGTGAAAGACTGAGTATGTGTTTTTAAAATTAGAGTAATCAAAATATATTAACATTTTGTCAACATAGATACATGAATTAGCAACTGATTTTTTAGCAATAGTGGTCATAGAGAGTATACAAACTAGCTAATTTTTATAGGAATGGCATAAAGAGTGTATATTCATCTTTAACCAATTAACAAACATGTCTTTTTTAATTTAGTTTATTTTATTGAATTCCAACCTCTCTCCTCCCCCAAGATTCCAGGGGTCACAACAGTCAAGGAGATTACTTATTTTTTTATTTTATTATTTTTATTTGTAACTTTCTTTTAACCCTAAACCCTGAAACACAAAACAGTTTGGTTTGTTAAAGAAAGCAGACAAATAAACAGGATGAGCAGGTTACTTCCAAAAGCATTTTTGGATTTTATCCTTGAACTTCTTGGTCATAAGCTAAAAGTTCTACCACTAGTCTACTACCACATAATTTAGAAAAGTTATCAAGTCTTAGCAATCATATTCTAAATAGAACTAAATTGTTTTAGGTCATATCTTTGGTCAAATATAAAGTATTAAATAACTAAATAGTCTAAATAACTCATTTTTCAAACATGACAAAATTTTTTTCAGAAGTTTGCTCAACATTAATTTATTAAATTACTAATATTTCAGCATAAATTATAAACACATGACTTGATTAAAAATAAATAAAGAATTTTTACTTATATAAATAATTGTAAAATAAAATAATTTACCAATATAAGTTGTAGTCACAACTATATGATTATCAGAAGTAGTTTTAATTTCATTTGGACCAGCTCTAAATTTAGTAGTTGTATTGATGTTTCCAGCAGTGTCTTCTGCAATGCATTTGATAAAAAGTGTTGTATTTTCTACAGCAAATATCGGACTGCTCGGCTCAATATGAAATTTAACTAAAAATAAAATAATTTAAATTTAAAAAAATAAAACACTTTTATTTCTTAACTAAAACCAAACCTGTACCATTTTCTGCACTCGTTAATGATTATATTTTATAAAATACTGTAAACTAATACAAATTATTTGGAAAATGTCTTTCCTATCAAAATTGCTAGAAACAAACAGAAACAAGTAGCCTCCTCGTCTAGTAGTCTTGTCAGCCTTGAGGAGGTGAATAAAAAAAAACAATCCGACCACACATTTATTTTCATATATAATATGAAAATATTATAGTTCCTTTTGAGGAAAAAATAGCACTACTAAAATTTTGACCTCAAAAAAAAACATTTTCAATGGATGGAAGTTCATATAGTTTTACAAAAAAACCCTACCTTAGGGGGGAGGGGGCATGGGATAATAGCTTTTTTTCAAAAATATTCTTTTGTAAATTGACTATTATGCAGAATTGAACTAATATACTGACGAATTAAATTGACTATTATACGTAATTATAGGTATATGAACTTGATTATTACATTAAGGTACAAAAAATGTCCTTTAGAAAAAAATATTGGGGGGGGGGGAGGCACATGCTCTACTGGCCCCCCTGTGTGGTCGGCTCTGTTTAAGATAAACCTGAACTTATAAATGTTTGGAGTGACCAGCCAAATAACAAATAAAGCTTGCTACGGGATAGCAATATAATTATAAAGATACTTTATAGTTCATATAGTTCATAAAGTTCATATAGTTTTACAAAAAAACCCTACCATTTATACTAAATTATTATAACTCTATTAAACTGCCAAACAGCTAAACTTTTGGCTATACATATTTAGAATCAAAAAAAGATATCAGTTTGATAAAGTTTTATAAGGAAAAAGTTTAAAACACTTTATTTTTATTTTTACAATTTGTAACTTTTAATTTTATATGAGCATATTTTACTTTTATTCGTAATAACTTAAAAATGTCTTCAAACAACTTTTTAAAAGAAAAAAACTCATGTCTTAAGAAAAATGCTTAAAAGCGTACTAATCAGTAAGAATTAAATTTAAAAAGTATAGTTAAGAAATAAAGTCAGGTAAAAGGTATTTTCTACATACCTTCTGCAAGTAAACACTTCACAAAATAAAGAAAACACAAAGTCTTCAAAATCATTATGTTCTCAAATGTTTTATCTAAAAAAAAAATTTTTTTTACAGATAAAATCCGTTATGCATTTTATACTATAAGAATTATAAATTTTAGATATGTTTATCACATTGAAATTTGATGGTTTATATATATATATATATATATATATATATATATATATATATATATATATATATATATATATATATTTAAATATCTTCTAAAGCTAGTTTAGTAGTTTAGATAAGCATTTGCTTACTAGTTTTGCATATCTTTTAGCATACAGCATTTTCAAAAAAAGAAGAAAAAAACCAAGAATAATGAAAGATTGATTGCAGTGAGACAAGAGAGTGCTCATCTAAACTAGCAATTTAAGTTATATTTATACATATAAAGATTTTTTATACATCTTTTTAAAAAACATTAACTTAATAAACCAATACACTAAACATATATATGTAATAAACATACATATATGTAAAATATACATATATGTGTATATATACATATATATATATATATATATATATATATATATATATATATATATATATATATATATATATATATATATATATATACATATATATATATATATATATATATATATATATATATATATATATATATATATATATATATATATATATATATATATATATATATATATATATATATGTATATATATATTACATGTATACGTATATATATATATATATATATATATATATATACGTAAACATGTAATGCATATATATATATATGCATATATATATATATATATATACATATATATATATATATATATATATATATATATATATATATATGTATATATACATACATATATATATGTATATATAGATATACATATATATATATATATATATATATATATATATATATATATATATATATATATATATATATATATATATATATATATATATATATATATATATATATATATATATATGTATATACTTTCATATATACAAATTATGTTAGTGTATTCTACAAATAGAGTGCTCAATGTTTTTAAAGAACAGAGCAATAATAAATTAGTATAAATACTTACTTCTTAAGCAATTATTTCTTCGACAACTTGTTTCACCATCAGTAGGCTGATGAACCTACTAATGGTAAAATAAGTTGTTGAAGAAATAATTAGATTAGAAATATTAATGCTTTTACTAATTTATACATACATATACATATATACTTATATAGATATACATATACACATACATATACACATATATACATATATAGATATATATATTATATATGATATATATACATATATATATATATATATATATATATATATATATATATATATATATATATATATATATATATATATATATATAGTATATATATATATATATATATATGTATATATATATATATATATATATATATATATATATATATATATATATATATTTATGTATATATATATAGTTATTTTTGCTAACAAGTTGATAAAAGGACATGTGTTTTTTTTTTTTTAATTATATAAAAAAAACAAATATTGACATAACTTCGGGAGAAAAAAATTTGGGGTGTTTTCTGTAAACCAGAACGAGGCTTCTCAGAAATATTTGTTGTAACTCAATGTAACTGAATGTTTTTTAATTAAAAAACAATTATTACATCCAAGAAAAAAAACTCAAGTTTAGTATCCCATTGTTTCATGTAGCTCTACTTCAAAAACACATAATCATCTGCAATTCGTAGTTCTGTTTTTAAAAAGATCATCTAGCGATTGCAAATTACAGAGCATCCTAAGGCAAAGAACTAACTCGTTAAAAAAAGCCGATAAATTTTAACAAATCCGATTGGCTGTTAGTGGTATAAGTAATTTCATCTGAAGAACTTTTTATTTAATATTTAATTTATGCAAACAAATAAATACGTAAATAAAAGCAAAGTATTATAAATAACCAATAAATACCTGATATAGAGGTTTTACAGAAGATGGAGCACAGAGGCGGGTTTTAGGGGGGAGGGGGCATGGGATAATAGCTTTTTTTCAAAAATATTCTTTTGTAAATTGACTATTATGCAGAATTGAACTAATATACTGACGAATTAAATTGACTATTATACGTAATTATAGGTATATGAACTTGATTATTACATTAAGGTACAAAAAATGTCCTTTAGAAAAAAATATTGGGGGGGGGGAGGCACATGCTCTACTGGCCCCCCTGTGTGGTCGGCTCTGTTTAAGATAAACCTGAACTTATAAATGTTTGGAGTGACCAGCCAAATAACAAATAAAGCTTGCTACGGGATAGCAATATAATTATAAAGATACTTTATAGTATTTGTTTGACATTATTTTTGAACCTAGTTACAATTTAATACGCTTGTGTTGGTATATTTATGAGTAATATATTATTTCTAAAAGAAGCTGAAATAAAATATGTGTATATCCCTTTGTGCTGTGCTAACAACAAAAAGTATTTTGTTTTAATACGTTACTGAAGCCATAATAGCTGTTTGTATTGACAAAAATATAATTGTTTTTATAACAATAAGTTAAAAGTAACTTGTATTACTTTTAAGTTAAAAAATATTAACTTATGGAGGCACTAGAAATTTATGTCTATACAATATAAAACTTTAGTAACAACATTTTGACGCTTGAGTTTCATTATTCATTAATTATACCATACTATAAAGTTTGGACCCGTAATACATGTCATGCTGATACACACCTCCCACTTATTCTTTGTTTGTATTAAAAAATTACAGAAAATGGTAGAAAGTACTGATCTTAGCCTCATTAGAGATCTTTATTTAGCGTTTCCACTTGCATTGCTTGAGTGTTATGGTTACCTATTTTTGGATGATTTAAAAGTAGGTTTGCGATTTTTAAAAAAAAAAACAGACCTAGAACGTCTTTTTCAACTATTGCGCATGCAAAGTTTAAAAAAAGTTTAAAACCCAATTTTAAATCATTCGAACTAAAAAGTGTCACTTCGTGCGCGGCGTCGACTGATTTAGCAATTCAATTTTTACAAATTCTAGAACAATTTTTGATAATAAAATGAATGAAGAGTTGTTCCATCGGTTTTGAATATTTATTTAGGAAGGTTTATTTTTTATATTTATTCCCTACTCTTTAAAATGTTTTTTTTCTTTTTTTCTTTTTTTGCAAGAACAGTTTAAAGCAGCGACAGAAAGACACTACAACTATTTGTTACAGCGCTTTTAATATTATCTTTATAATATAATTTGCATTATATATTTATATCAAAATATAATTTGCATTACTTATATATTTGTTTAACAATTACATATTTCTATTTTTCTTGTTTTGAACTTTTGAACTTTTTTTATGTGTCTAGTAGTAACAAATTTAAATCAAAAAGTAATTTTATGTAGATAAAATAATGAAAAGTCAGAATACTGTTTTGAAGAAGATCTTTTTTGCACGAGTCCCATTTAATTGTTCATTTTCGAGTTGATGTTTTACAAAAATTAAATAAATTGACAGATCAATTGTCAATTAAAAGTACAAATACTTAAAAAAAAATGTAATGAGGATGCAGCAAGTGGCACAAAAGTTTGAATTTAAACTGATACACAGTGTACTTAAGATATTGTTATAAAAAAAAAGATATTTCACTATTTATTTATGTATGCATCTTATTATTTCATCATTATGTATATCGCTTTTATTACTTTAATGATAACTTTTTTATCCATGTTAACATCATACCAGGCACTACATTTTTTGGTGATTTTGAACTTTTAAAAAAATAAGATACAAACCAATTAGAGTATCATTGCCTGTGTAACTCACAAGTACCCAACTTATCCTAAATTTTAAGAACGTCTTAATTGAGTATCATATCCTACTTTAAACATTTCAATTGCCATTTTAGGGATGTTTTTTTCAAATGCACACTTATCCAATAACCATCTGATACCATCTAGACTGATCTATAGAAACTGTTAAAGCAAATTGTGCAGACAATGCACCTTAAGGACAAGCTCATTCATTACATGTGCACTTTTTGTAGTGTTTATTTTTTAATTTTTACAAGTTGCTGCTTACTTGTTAAAAACTTAATAAGTTCTTGTCAGAAACGATATATATATATATATATATATATATATATATATATATATATATATATATATATATATATATATATATATATATATATGTATATATATATATATATATATAAACATATATATATATATGTATATATACATATATATATATATATATATATATATATATATATATATATATATATATACATATATATATATATATATATATATATATATATATATATATATATATATATATATATATATATATATATATCACGTTGTTAAATTAAGTTTTTTTTTGTATATAAACATATCTTTTTAAAGCGGGTCATACAGACCTAAAGTATTTGATGAAATTAACTACGATACTTAAGACAACAGTTGCAAAATATTTAAAGAATATGAGGAAAGGACTGAGCTTAAAGAGAAAGAAATGAAGTGTTAAACCAAGAAAACCTAATTTAAAGGACCAAGAACAATTGATTCAATTAGCTCGAAAAGATGATGACACACGATCCACCCGAGGTATTTAAATTGAATTAATCAAAAAAGACAGTCCCTAGGTTGCTCCCAGAACCATTACTTGTTATATTTTTGGGAACGAAACCGAAGTGGGTACTTCAGTTTTGTTCCCAAAAATCAACCCTTATTGACTCCTGTTCAACAAGAAAATAGAGTAAAATGGTGTGAAGAACACCTAAGAACAAGATGGAATCAATGGTTATTTAGTGACGAGAGTCATTTTGAGTTATTTCAAACTCGAGACGGTCAATGGGCAAAGAAACGACCTAGAATTGGTAAACCAAAGTTCAAATAGAGTCTCATGGTTTGGGGGCAATTAGTTCCAAAGGTAAAACATCATTGCTTATAATCAAGGGCACTGTGAATAGTGAAAGATACAAAGAAATACTTTCTGAAGCTAAGCCAACTCTAAAAAATCTTTTCCCAAGGAGTTTTACATTTCAACAGGATAGGACAACGTGTCACTCTTCAAAACCAATTTCTGAGTGGTTTACAGAACATAAATAGAAAGTTTCTTATAAGCCCGCCAATTCACCGGATCTAAAACCCATTGAAAATACTTGAAGGTTAATGAAAAAAGCAGTGAAAAAAAAAAACCCAAAAAATTTAGGTGATTTAGAGGTTGCAATTCAAGAAGTTTGGAACGGAGTTTCCTTAAATTATTTGAAGCCATTAATTTACAGTATAAACCGTTGTCTTCATAAATGCATAAAAGTTCAACACTGGACACGTGACCAGATATTGATCAATATATTATTTTAAAAACTAAGCTTTACTCTTTATTATCTATTGAACAATTATATTATTCATTCACTATTTTGAAAATAAAACTTAAAAAACTTGGTCTCATTTTTTTTTTTCCGGAAGGTAAAAATATATTAGCGAAATATTGTTAATATACTATTATATCATAATATATTTAAAAAAAGTTATACGCTGCCTTTTTTATTGAAATCAGCTAATATATATATATATATATATATATATATATATATATATATATATATATATATATATATATATATATATATATATATATATAATATATATATATATATATATATATATATATATATATATATATATATATATATATATATATATATATATATATATATATATATATATCTAAGGCAGGTTTAAGGAGTCTGAGTACTCAAGAGGCTCCACCAAGATTTGATCAGATTTTTTTTTTCCTAACTTCCAATTCCACGGAATTGCGTTTATCAAAAGTTTTGTTTTAGTTTATTTATTGCTTAAATATATTTATACTGATAAAAAGTTTATATAAATCAAAATATTATAATAAATAGTTGCTTTTATTATAAATTTTTAAACTCCCTTATACATTTAATAATGTTAGTTCTGTAAATAAAAATAATAATAAATATCAACAACGGTAATATAATAACACATGTATATCATATGTATCTATAAAACCTGTAATATCATAAAAAATAAATGTCATTTTTCTTCGCACATGACACAGTAGATAATAATTTTAAACATTTTGTAAAAACCGTTGTTAAAAATGGTCAGGGAAATTCATCTAATTTTTCAAAAAAGTAATTAAATTTTATATAATTAGTTGGCTACAAACCATGTTTGTTTTAATATGAATTTTTTTGTTTTACATTGCAATATGTATCTCAAACATTAACGAGAATTGTTTTGTGTCAGTCCCAGATATTGAATGCACACCTGCAAGTTTCATAATTCATAAAAATATTATAAATCCATTAGCAAGTATAAATTTTTATCATTAAAAATTTGCCTCTCTGTCTTTAATTTTATCTGTTTTATTAGTGATTGTTGTATTTACTTTCATAAATTCTAAATATAATATGTAATTAGTTGCATAGTTTCTTAATAATATAATTAACTTTATTGTTTCAAGATAAAGTTGTATCCTCGAAAGATATGCTGGTATTATTGGCACAATGGGCAAGCATTAAAGTGCAACTTGGTGAATTACAAAATACACCAAATTCAGTTATAAAAATTTGAGTAACAAAGGTATGCTAATTATTCTATTGCCTGAAAGAGTGTCATTGCCATTAAAAGCAGTGAAAAATTCAAGTACTCTGGAAGAAAAAAGACAAGAAAACACTTAAGTAAATGGTAAATATTTTATGATCTGTTTATGCATTTAGTATGATATCTTAGTACAATTTATATACTATAAATAAAATACTCTTTGAAGATTTTTTGACATTTTATATTAATTTAAGTCTAAACAAAAGTTACTTTAATTATTGCCAGGTTGTGTATTTTTGCAGGTTAATTATTTAGCACAAATTGGAGTAAAAGACGAAGGCGATTGTATATGTTATTTACTAAGAATAGTTTTTTAAAATAGCCTAGCTGTAAAATTAAATTATGCAGGTAGAGGACAAAAAATTGGAATAGGTAAAATGTTGATTGCATATGTTGCTATTGGTAAGTGGTTTAGAAAAGTTTATTTTTTTCAGTTTCAATTTTCCATTACAGAATTACTTTCAATTTGTTATGTTTTTTTGGTGCATAATTTCTTTCAATTTACTTTCAATTTGTTATGTTTCTTTGGTGCTCTGTGATAAGCCCGCAAGGATTTCTGGGAGCACCTAAAATAACTAAAAAAAAATTAAACAAACAACTATTTTTTTTGCAGAAACTGTGAAGTCAAATAAGCATGGCTTATGCAGACATGTGATAGAGATAGTGGAAGAAAAAATAGCATATACGTAGTATATACGGTACCAAAAACGGTATAACGTTATACCATTTTTGGTGTTTAATTCAATGGGATTTAAAATGCAAAATAACAATATAAACTTATCTTATAAGTTGCAGCAAGCATGTTATTGTAGTGATATAACAAAATAGTCGAAAGTTTTCTTGATTGAAACATTGAAGCTTTCCTTACCTAATCAGTAATAAAATCAAAGGGTTGTAAAAGTAATTCTAGTGCAATTAAAGAAATATTTAGTAACGACCATAAACCTTAAAATAATACTTTATTTAGTGATTTTTAATCAAAAAATTTAGAAAACGTCTTTACAGTTAAAGATTTATACAAAATTTTTTTGTGGACTTTAAATTTATCAGGGTAATACTAATCCTATAAAAAGTTTTGAATTAACTGTTTAAATTTTTACTCTAAAGATGAAAATCATTTTTTACAAATTTTTGTTGATTTTACTGGATTTTTTCTTTTTAAAAAATAACCTGTTTTGATGAAGGAATCAAAGTGTTCCATTTTAGGGAACCAGTTGTCTTGATTGGAACAAAATGGTAACTTAGCAAAAACAAATTTATTTCCAATAACAGTGCAATCTTTCTCTCTCTCTCTCTCAAAGATATATATATATATATATATATTATATCTTTGTATATATATATATATATATATATATATATATATGTATCTTTGTATATATATATATATATATATATATCTTTGTATATATATATATCCTTGTATATATATATATATATCTTTGTATATATATATATATATATATATATATATATATATATATATATATATATATATATATATATATATATATATATATCGCGAGGTTAGAATTATTTTGTTCTATCTCCACTTTTTGAAAAAAATGAGTTATTAATTGTGTAATGTACCTCAAAATAATGTTTTTCTACTATATTAAAACCTAAGTTAAAATCAAAAAAGTTTCAGAGAAAACATAAGTAATAAAAATATTTTTATATGCCGTCTCCTAAAGTTTTTATTTTTTAAATCGTTTTATCTTGAAACAAAAAAAATGTGGAAATAGAACAAAATAATTCTAACCTCGCGATATATATCTTTGTATATATATATATATATATATATATATATATATATACATATATATATATATATATACATATATATATATATATACATATATATATATATATATATATACATATATATATATATATATATATATATACATATATATATATATATATACATATATATATATATATACATATATATATATATATATACATATATATATATATATACATATATATATATATATATATATATATATATATATATATATATATATATACATATATATATATATATATATATATATATATATATATATATATATATATATATATATATATATATATATATATATATCTTTGTGTGTGTGTATATATATATATATATATATATATATATATATACATATATATATATATATATATATATATATATATATATATATATATATATATATATATATATATATATATATATATATATATATATATATATATATATATATATATATATATATATATATATTGTATATGTTTTGAGAAATTAAACTTTAAAAGAAACATAAACTGTGACAAGCTTAAAAGCGTCATAAAATATTGCGATCTTAAGAAAATAAACAGACCGGCAAGTTGAAGGTGTAATAAAACCGGTCAAATTTGTAAGAAACCGAACCAAAACTTAGGGTATGAAACGCAAGAGCACAGTCTAAAATTTATTCAATAACTATAAGGTTGGGTCTAAAATGATCATATAGACCTACAAATTCGAATGAAAAACAGTGTCTCAAAGATACCCATTTTTAAAGTTATTTAACCGGTTATATAATAATTTTAATATATATATATATATATATATATATATATATATATTATATATATATATATATATATATATATATATATATATATATAAATATATTGCAGTAAGAACCCACTTCTGGAAATCTATAATCTTTATAAAATAATGTTTAGCAAAAAAAAAAAAAACATTTAAAACAATAAATTAATTTTCAATTAACATGTTCTAATACATATACGTATTATAACAACTAACTAATGTTAATGCTAGATAAAAATGAAAACTGTGTCAAATATTTACACGAAAGCAACATGCACCGTGGGGGTTTTGGAAAATATTTCAACGCTTCTTCCTTTTTATTATAAGTACCATTAGTACGCGTTCTCGTTTATTGTAACTTTTAACAGGATTCTCCAATAGTGCTGCCCAATCACGTCAAAACACTTTGATTAACAGCTTATTTATTAAGTTTATTTGCTATCAATAAACGCTATTCACGTTGCCTGCACCGCCTGAAGGAAATTAATACAATTACATCACGCGCATTCAATAGTCTCGATATCGTGAAAAAACAAACAAGTTCTATAAGATTAACGATACCTATAAGATTAACGATAAGCAGAAATTAAATGTTGTATTTCTTTATCAAGTTCGTTAATAACACGATCTTCTGTTGTGTAAACTCCAGTTTGTAATAATGTATCACGTTCGTCGATTAATTTTGCAATTCTTGATTTTTCGGTGCCATAATTTCCTTCTAAGTTTCTGTTTTCATCACAACAATCATTAATGCGATGTCTATTTAAATCAGTTTGGTTGCGAACCATCTCAAGCTCTTCAAGCCTAAATAAAAAAAAAAACCTGATAAAATTTCATTGAATAAAATTTTTTAGAGAACCCAAATTTCGTTCCTTACTGATTGGTAATTTTTAGATACTTGACTATGCAAGCCTAATTGGAAACCTCTTTTTTTTTTAATTAACTTTTAATAAACGCAGATGTAAAAAGTTCCTCTGAAGTTATAACAGTTTTTACTCAACGAAAGTTAAATTTAAATTTTATTTAAATGGGATTTTTAACTTTAACCGATAAGTTATCAATATTAAAAATGGTGGTTTCTACAAACCTACAATAATCTCATCAAAAAAAGAACCTAATGTAATCTTCTAAAAATTGCTCTACAATAAAATCGAAAATAATGGTTCTTAAATAAGTTAAATATGAAAGCATTTCACAAAAATCGAAACTAATGAACAGCGCCGTGCGGTAGTATTTTGGCGCCTGGAGCAGGCATACTTATAAGGCGCCTTTTACGGGTAGATTAATTTTTTAGGTGACCAACATATTCAATTTTTCTAAAGTAGAATACAGGTAGCCTTCAATTAACGCGGTTGTATTTGCCTAATTTTTGGAATAACAGTGTACTTTACAGAAAAATATTTCTAATAAAATTTGTAGAACTTCGAGAGTTCTACAACTATTCTTAAAATATTTTCTGTGGAGTGTACCATTCTCTCAAAAATTGGACAAATGCACACGTTAATGAAAGGCCGCCAGGAATAGATCGTTGAGTTGACATTAATGACAAGAAAAATAAAAACCCTTGATTCATCGTTTTTATATTCAATTTTTTATTAGGATACATTTACAAAATCAACAAAACATGTATAATATGTATATAATAATCGCGGATTAAATAAATCAATAATTTATTTTATCATTTATATCAAATATTTGGACTTATTATAATTGAGAATAATAATAAATTATTTGTAGTAAGTCAGAAGAGATTTCATTTCTAATTATTCGATCAATAGAAAGTAACAAATTCAATCGATTTTGATAGCTTTAACAACGATTTAAGCACAAAAAGCGAAAAAAAATCACTTATTTGAGAAAGCATTTTTATTTAAAATTTACTCGCCTCGTTTTTAATTCAGCAAAATCGTTAATTAAATCGTCATAATTTTAACGAATCACATATTTTGCTTTCAATCGACATCATAGCTAGACCTACTAATCTCTCATTGACGATCTCAAATAGTTTTTTATTATTTTTAATTTCGAGAAACTGCGTTCCCCAGAAGCAATTGATATAGGTAAAGTTAACAGAATACGTAGACAGATGAACAAATTTGGAAATATTGTTGTTATATTATTTTCCTGCAAATAGTTCAGTATTTCTAGTGGTTCCATTTACTTTCCTGCAAATAGTTCAGTATTTCTAGTGGTTCCATTATCTAAACCATTAATATCTCTTTTCTCATTATCTGTTAATAATAAATGTAAGTTCATGCAATTTTTTAATATATTTGTTCTATTTTAGGATTTTAGTTTATAAATATTGTATAATATTTGAAATTTTTCTACATGTAATTTTAACTGTACAAATCTTTCATCTATTGAATTAATTGCGGTGTCCAGAATGAAAAAGAAGAAGTTGACTTTATAATTTTGTTGTGAGCCTATAAAATGGCCTTTCTTTTTACGAATTCGAATCGTTGAAACATCTGGGAATTTACTATCAATCATAATAATTTCTTTGCTTCATCGACGACTTTTACAAAGGTTTCATCCTGACGGTAATTGTTTAAAAAAACTTCTTTCAAAGCACTATTGCAATTTAATAAATTTAAATTTGGAGACATTATTTTTGATACATTTACTTTTGATAAAATGTCGTACCACACAATCAGGCTACAAATAAATTTAAAACAAGAAACTTTTTTGCTAATGACTGGGCTTCATGTTTCGTTTGATTGTCCCGTGTTTCATCTAAATGGATATTGACTAAAGCATCATAAATATGTTCAAGTTGAAATCTCAAAGGAATAATAGCAGAAATTCTACTTTCCCAAATAGTAGAACGAACTGGTTTTAAGGAAATTTTCACATGCTGCTTTTAAATGTCCCACCGACTAGGAGATGACGAAAAAAATACATAAATTTGCTAAATAATAAGAAAAAAGCTAGCTACTTCACCTGAAGCAGAAGCTGCATCGTTAACAACTAAATTGAGGGAATGACATGCATAAGGAACAAAAACTGAACGTGGATTTAATTATAATATTCTGCTTTGAACACCCAATCTTTTTCGCGCCATTATCGTACCCCTGGCCTCTCATATCTTCAATAGGAATTTGATTATCTTCTAGTTCTTTAAGAATTTTTTCAGTTAGGCCTTTACCAGAAGTATCCACTACGGGAATGAATCCTAAAAAATGCTCGCGAATGTCGAACCTGTTTTTGTCCTGGAATACAAATCTTATAATAATGGACATTTGTTCAACATGACTCTGATCTGAGGTGCAATCTACTATTATGGAATAGTATTTACTAATTTTAATTTGTTGAACAATATACTCTTTCATATTTTGAAATTAACTGTATGAGCTCATTCTGAATATTATTACTCAAATAATGTACTTTGGTTTGCCTTTGTGTAATAGTTTGTATATGATTTGCAGACGTTTGATCAAATGTAGCCAGTAATTCAAATAATTTTAAAAAATTGCCGTTATTTCTGTCATACATTTTATCACTTGAACCTCGTATTGCTAATAATTGTGAAGCTAAAAATTTTAATATCGCAATTATTCTTTTAAGAATCTCTTGCCACTTATTATTTTCAATATTAGGGGCACGTTGTTGAGCAGCATCTATGGTGTTTAATGTTTTTAAGCGTAACCTTAACTCATTCCACATAAAAATACTATCGAAATGAATTCCCGGTGATTCATGACTTTTAAGATCCCGTGATAAATGTGCCCAATCGGAACTACCATTGACAGCCCAGTTATTACGATTTTTAGAAAATAATTTACAACTAAAACAAAATACAGAATCTTGAGATTGTGAATAAATTAACCAGGATTGCGCAATATGTTCTCCGTTTGGCAATTTTCGATTGTATAAAGAAGGTGAAAATTGTCTACCTTTGTTGTTTACAGGAAAGGCAAAATTGTTTATTTGTACTGGACCTTTTTTTACCAAAAATTGTTGCCCGTGATAAACTTCCATTCACCGGGATCTGATGACACTTCAAACGCCGGGTCCTCTTCATTCAGTGTCTATAGTGGAACTTCGAGATCTTCTGATGCTTCACAAATAGTACGCTCGCTTCCATCTACAGTAGATATAAATACTTCTGTAGGATCTTTGACAAGATCTGAAATAGCAGCTTCCTGACTCTATTCTAAATTAGATCTTGAGGCTTCGGAATATCCATCAAATTTTGACGATTTATCCATATTGCATTCGTTTATGCTGTTAATTGTACTTTGATCGAAACCCTTTTTTCAGATTGTCGGTTCATCAATATTGCTTGTACCTTGGCTTATATTTGATGAGCACGATTGTTGAACAAATGACAATATAGAATTTGCTTGCTTCTTACGTTCAATTTCTTTTGTTTCTCTTTGTTTTTTATTTTCCCAACCAGACTTTTTCTTTTTATTTCCAAACATGGTTTTTAATTATTATGATTTAATTAAATTTGTTAAAACCTAATATAAATTACAAATACAATTGTAGGTATACTGTTATAACTAGGGCTGCTAGCTCGAACATGTTCAAGTTCGAACGTTCGAACTTTACGCCAAATTTCAACGTTCAGGTTCGAACTTTTTTCGCTAATTACACAAACAATAATAAAGATAAATTTTTAATAGGCGCCTTTTTGTTATGAAAGTACGATTATTCATTACACTACACTTTATTATCAGTAAAAATAAAAAAAAAAGGAAAAAACATAAAGAGTTGCTTACATATCAGAAAAATAATATTCTTAGACGTAAATAAACAAACGTGAAATATTTGAAAGGCGCCTTCGTGGCTCAGGCGCCTGGAGCGGTTGCTCCATTGCTCCATGCCACGGCACGGCCCTGCTAATGAAGTCAAGTTTTACTCCTGAAGCGGGCATATTATAGTGATTCATTCCCGACAACCTTATTGCAAATAATTACTTTACTTTTCCCTACAACCTTATTGCAAATAATTACTTTACTTGCATAGAGAGGTAAATTATGAATAAAAAAATACGTCTGTAATTTTTTTTGAAAATGTTAAAACTACTTCTAATACAAGCTAGTTGGGCAAAAACATTTTCTTCTACAATTTTATTGTTCTGGTCATAAATGGTTGAAATAAATAATATTTCGTTGTTTTATAGAATATTTACCTTTAATAACTTAGAAATTAGGGAGTTATTTATAATAAAAAAAAATATTTGAAAAAAAAGAATTCATAAAATTATACAATGAAATTTAAATTCAATTATCAGAAAACTCATCATTTGAATCCTCAGAACGCTAATCTCTTGAATCTTCGACTCATCATCTGAAGCATTAAACAATTTATTGGAAAAAATACAATTTGTTATTAATTGAGGCAAGACAATCAAATTCAAAACCCGGCTTGTTGCTTCTCTTTACTGGCAGAGTTGATAACAGGTCAGACTTAAAGCAGATTTAGCAAATCTATATTTGTAGAAATATGTGTAGAAATTCTAGGACTTTCCAGGACAATCATTTTTTTTTTCCATGATATTTGCTTCATCATTTCTAGGACTTTTGAGAACTTATAAAAAAAAAGTTATAAACTCCAGGACTTTTTTATAGATAGCCCAAAATAACACAAAATACTAAATATAAATTAATATAGAAACCAAATGCAAATTAAAGAAATACATTACAGCTATTTAAATATAGCTACATCACTACAGCTACATAAATAATGGTAAATTCAAAAAATATTTGAAAACGGAACTATTTATATTTGAAAGGAAACTTTTAGCACAACCAATTTCAAAAACATCAGAATCATTTCAAAAACTCATAATATAAATACCGTTTTAGCAAAACAAAACCAAAACCAAAACTTTACTCAATAAAATATGCTTTTAAAATGAATATGTGTACAAAAATATGCTTTTAAAATTAATCAGGGGATTCTTCAAAGGAAGACAAATGATCTTCAATAAGATGTAAGACAATAATGGATTTTTCTTTCAGATTTTCAACAAGAAGTTGTTTATTAATACTAAAGCCACGCTCAATGGAAGATTGTCCACGTTCAATGGACGCTCAATGGAAGATTGTTCACGCTCAATGGAAGATTGGCCACGCTCAATGGAAGATTGTTAATGAGAAAGCACAAAAAACCATTTTAAAAACGCTTCAAACGTCTCGATAAGTTTTATTTACTCCAATAAAGCAGAGAAAAAATGATCAAGACTATCGTTTTTAATATCGAAATCTTGAAATAATTTTCGATTTGAGTCTACTATTTCTAAAAACTTATAATATTGATTTTTTGCTAGTTCGGCAGACTTTGGTGACAAACGGCCATATTTAACTAACTTTTGCAACAGAATTGAAAAATTATTGATACAAGTATTCTTTTTATTCGGATTTGAAATGAATAATTTCAAAAATAAATAAATAATAGGTTTTTCAACAGACCAGCTAAAAACTGGCCTGCCTTTTTTTTAAAAATATAACCACTCTTTAGTCAATGTAACTTAAATAAACTTCATCAACCGAGCAGCAAAACTAATTTTTATTTATAGGCTTTCTAATACTTTATTTAGATTGCTATACTTATTTAAAACATCTTTTCTCAACTATTTCACCAATTATGATAGCCATAAAAATGGAACCCTAGGTTTGTCTGTTTAAAAGCATCTCAAAAAACAATTTAACTTTTCAGAACATCTCAAAAAATTTAAGTTTGGCAAAACAGGATCTTGAACCATGTCTTTGAAATAGTGTAATTAGGCGTATAGATAGTGAAGTTAGCAACTCATTTTTAAAAAAGGGAGCTAATCTGAATGTTGCAATATAACTGGCCTTGGTGGTCCGCATTGAAACAACTTAACAATGTCACAATCTGAAAATATTTTACTAAATAATTTACCAGAATCAGTTGAAGAATTCATTGAATATTTAGAATACACAATATTAAGGAACCAACGAACTTCAGCTTCAAGTGTAGATATATTTATTAGCATTTTATCAATTGTTTTTTGGTGTTCTGCTTTATTTGATCATTCTGACATATACTCATTAACTTTAACAGTGTTAGTAGCAGTTGGCATCAATTATTTGATATTGTTAGCAGAAGGAGATCTCTATGTGCTTTTTACCTTTCATGTGTGAAGTTAAAGCAGTTTCTCCCATGTTATCAATCTTTAGCACAATAACAGTTTCTGTTTTTTTATGTAACCAATGTTTATATTGTTCTTCAACAAGCCATTTTACTTGAAAAATACATTTATTTTTAGGCATTTTCTAGTTATTTTATCTGAAAACAACAACAACGACAAAAAAAAAAAAAACTTGAACCTTTTAGGAGTCAAAAAGAATTTAGAATCTCTAATATTTCATACTTTTAAAAATTATTCAAAACTATACAACAATGCAATAAATAAATAATAATTGAAAAACTATATATCAACTATATATTTATGATTTATGGAAACCTTTATGATGATATCTTTCAAACGATACTTTTAAAACAAATAAACTATGCCTTATTGTGGATGTATAAGTTTTTTTAAGAATCTTCAAAGTAAAAATTTCAAAAACAATATAAGAATCAGATTTTCCATGAAAATTATAGATTAGAGCAGTTGTTAGCATTAAAGTTGTATTGTTGTTGTATTCTTTTTCTCTACTTTAAAACAAACAACAAAATATAAAATATTATCCCGTTTTCCAGGGCTATCCCAGGATTTTACAGAATAATTAAAAAAATCCAGGACTTTTCAGAACTGGGGGGAATCTACAATCTTTATTTCATGCTTCTTGAGATTCTTACGAAAGGTGCTAATTAGAAGAATACTTGGCTTTAGAACTTCTGTTCTTGTTTTGGGCATTGTTTCATGTAACAATGCACAAAAACTACCACAATATCTAGATACAAAGTTTTAGAATAAAGTTTTTAAAATTTGACAATTAATATCATGGCCAGAAGATAGTATTTTTTAAAAAATTTTTAAAATTAATTCAATGTTTAATCCTGTAATTTTTCTAGTCATTTCTGGATTTAGAAAAAACCAGAAATGACTGGAGAGATTACAGGCTTTGCTTGATCTACTCCGACCATTATTTGACACTACATTTATTTTTATTGCTTCCAGCTTACCATTTTTTATATTCAAATGGTAGCTAATGCGTAACAAGTATTTAGTAAGGTAGAGCATGTGTAGAACACAAGTCAGCTAAAGTATTGCATACTTTTTTATCTTTTATCAAAAGCAACAGCTTGTATTTCACAATAAATTTTGATGGTCACAGTTTTTCGCAATTAATATTATGACATTACTCAATATCAATTGGAAGAAATGCAAATACAGAGAGAAATTCTTAAGTGCATTGGAATATTTTATTTGTAGATATTGTGGTCAGAGCTTCCGTTACATCCCTATATGCTTTTTAATGTAAGTGACAAACTATAAGGTGGATTTTTGAGAAATTAACCCTTAAACATTTACAGGGTCCCCAATATTTTGAAAAAAAAAAGACTTTTTTTTCAAAATATTGGGTTTAAAAACAGGTTTGACATAAATAGATTATCTATTTATGTTAAAACCTATGCACAGCATTTTTTTTTACACATTAATTGAGCATGGTTTGGAACACCATCTGAACCATGGTCAATTAATGTGCTCAAACAACATGTATTAACCCAAGATCAGTGGTAACTTGATATATATTTACTCAAGATTAGTGGTAACTTGATATATATATTAACAATATATATTAACTCCTTATATATTAACGATATATATCAACTCAATATATTTTAACTTAAGATCAAAGGTAACTTGATATATTTTAACTCGAGATCACAAATATTGATAAAAAAATCTTGAAAATAATATTTGTTTCATGGAAATTTTTTTCTTCTATGAAACAAATATTATTAAATAAATATTGGGGACCTTGTAAATGTTTAAGGGTCTTAGGGGCATTTCTAAAAATACTTTTTATTCAAAACTTTTTTATTTCCAGTGTTATTATATAGAATAAAATTAGAAGTAATAAAATGCAATTTTTTAAAATTGGTGTGATTCGATCAACCCTCCTTGTAATACGACAAGTATTTAGTCTGATTTTGAAGATAATGATGACAAACTTATTATTTATTTTGTATTGTTCATTAATTTTGTCTTATATTTGAGGGAGTTTTGTGGTTAAGCTCAGAAAGATGCGTTAGATAGTGTAAGATATATAAAATTCCATGTGACAAAAAGGTCTTTTTTTTAAAAAAAAAAAAAGAGTTCTTTTACCTTAGAGCAGTTAAGGTTAAAAATATAGACTTTAAATTTACTCAAAGTTGATGTTGTACGCTTAAAAGCATCAATTTTATTATTTTAAGCAATATATAATTATAAACCTATAATATAATAGCTAGTATTTTATTAAAAACCAACTGTATAAATATTATGTAAATGATAAAAATTAAAATTGTACCTGCAAATTCAACAAAAAGTATATTGAAAATAATCGCAAAATAAAACTGTAAAAACTTAAAATATTATTTAACTTCAATGATATGCAAGATATAGATTTAATGATTTTTCTTTAATAATTTAAAATATAGATATAAATTTAAAAAAAAATGCACATAAATTAAAAGCATTCATAGCTCTGGCTGTTGTGACTAATAAAAAATTATTTCACTTTCTTATTTTTTTCTCTCTCGAAAACATATGATCAAACTATTTTGTTTTTATTATTTTATTAAATCAACTTTATTTTTTATTAATATTAACAGATTAATTATTAATTAGGGAATATTAAATTAAGTAATTAATAATTATGTTATTATATTATTATGTTAATTGTTATCTAATCAGCATATCGTTAAAAGCTCATCAAATAATTAACTAATAATAATGATTTTACTTTCAATTATGTTAATTATATTTAATTATGTTAATTATCTGTAACTATGTTAATTATCTGTAATTATGTTAACTATCCATAATTATCTTAATTATCCATAATTATCTTAATTATCTAATCAGCATAATATTAAAATTCATCAAATAGTTAACTAATAATAATGATTTTACTTTTTTGTTATCTCTGCTTTGGCTAGATCCAGTTCTTGTCTTTCTTTTCCAATGACCTTTTAAAAAACATTATTCATTCTGATTTCATATGTTAATGACAAAAAAAATAGCAAACAATAAAAAAACTAAAGTTACCTTATTTTCTTCTGCAGCAAGATATCTTAATTTCATATGCTCAAGTTCATCATGTTGTCTCTTTAATCTTACCTTAGCAGCTTCCTGCTCACCTGTCTTGAGTCTAGCTAGTTCACGCAGTGCTCTACCCCATTGTTGCTTGTAATGCACTTTTGATTTTGAAACAGCTTCAATTTTTCGTTCAAGTTCATTCTGTCATTTAAAGAATAAGGCAATTTGCAAGATTTACAAATTAAAAATTATATGTACATCTATAAATATATAAATTTACCTTCTCCAAAAGTAACAAGTGCATGTCTGATTGTAACTTTACTTCTGGTCTACTTAGCATGCTTTCCTTAAGTCGGTATATATCATTTTCTCTTTCCTTTAATTTGTTTTCTGCTTCATGTAACTGTTCAACTACTTTTTTATATTTCTCTTCAATTTCACTATAATGTAGCTGTTCTAAATAGATTTGATGCTGGCATTGTTCTTTGAGTCTCTTTGAAGCTTCATGCATTTCGTTAGCCTTTATAATAAAAAAAAACAAAAAACACTTAAACTTAAAAAAAAAACTTAACATAGATAAATTATTTAAGGTTGGCAAAAAAAAAACAAAGTTGTTTAAAGTAACAGGGATGCATAATCCCAAAAAGACTCCAACTTTAAATCTCTATTTTTTCATGGTCTCTGGTGTCTAGAAATTCTAAAAGTGTTGAGTGACTTATGATCTGCATTAACAAAAAAGTTTATGAGATTTTAGGACTATTTTTTGATAGGTCATATAGACCTATTATTTGTTATCTTGGAGTCCTTTACGCAATTATACATAAAGACTACATGATTTTATTGCTTCTCTTACCTGAAAATATTATTTTTTTCCCTCAAAGTGGTTCATAAGCTTCTTTAAATTTTTGGAGTTCCTAGATACCAAAAACTATTTTGGTATCCAGGAACTCCAAAAATTTAAAGAAGTTATTTTCTAAGCTATTATAGGTTGCATTATAAATAAGTTTTTGTTATAATTGAAATTTTAAATTAAATTCAATTATTTTTAAATTACATATAACTATAAAAAAAAAATGTTTTTTTTTTTCCAAAGATTAAACAGTTTCTCCATTTAGGCTGGAGCAAAATTGTTTAGGATGGGATTAATAAAAAAAAATTAGGTTTTAATCAAACTTTAATTTTACTTCAGCTTTTTTATCTATTTATTGCTTTTGCAATGTTTCTCTTAATTGTTGTAAATTTCAAATTGAGAAAAACAAAAACAAAAAAAAACTGACTTGTTAACCTAATCATTATGTTGCTCTATAAAATACAGAGATAATCCATAGAGAGTATACTGTAACTTATTGGAACTAATCTGAACTTTTTATCAATACTGTTATAATATCATGTCAATAACTATTGTCAAGAAATAGAAGCTTGTATAAAACTTAAGAAGTTTGTATGAAACTTAAGAAGCTTGAATGAAACTTAAGAAGCTTGCATGAAACTTAGAAAGTGTTTATGCAGCTTCTAATTAGACATTTACTGTTAAAAATAAAGGATGCTAATGTTTGCTGCTGCCTTAGAGAAGAGCATTTTTATGTTTCGCTAAAAATCAGAGATCTGAAGTCGGAGTCCCTATTTTTATAAGGAGTGGGAAATCCTATCTGTCTTAAAAATTGTTAGAATTTTTTTAATTTTATATTAGCATAAATTGATTCATTTAAATTTGTTTAGCAGTTAGATAACTTTAAACCAGTAAAAGCACTAACACATTAAATAAGGCTGTATATGCCTTCTGACATATAAATTATT